CCCGCAAAGTTTCAAGAGGTTTTTTGCCATTGACTTCAATGGCCCCATTGGTTATAATGGACCTGAATTTTTTCGGGATTTTTTTTTCGGGATTCGGGAAAATGCATAGGAAGCCATTTCGGGATTGCAAAAGCCGAAAAAAGCCGAAAAACGTTATTTTCGGCTTTTTTCGGTTCGGGATCCCGAAATGCACATCCCTACCTTGAAGTGAATTCGGTATGCTATCGGCAGCCAGTGCAGTGCTTTCAGCACAGGCTGGATGTTGTACCACATGGGGAGGCCCACCAGAAGCCTGGCTGCAGCATTTTGCACTAGCTGTAGCTTCTGGATTTGGGTCAAGGGCAGCCCCATGTAGAGAGCATTACAGTAGTCCAATCTCAAGGTGACCATCGCATGGATCACTGTCGCCAAGTCATTGCATTTGAGGAAGAGAACCAACTGCCTAATCAGCTGGAGGTGGTAAAAGGCTGATTTGGCAGTGGCTGCTACCTGGGCCTCCATTGTTAGTGAGGCATCCAGGATCACTCCCAAGCTCCTAACCTCCAGTGCTGGCACCAATGGTGTCCCATTGAAGGTCGGAAGTAGGATTTTCTACCCTTGGGCTACCCCGGCTCAGGCACAGGACCTCCATCTTCATCGGATCCAGTTTCAGCTGGCTCAGTCTGAGACCCAACAACAGATAGAGCTGGGTGTCATCCGCATACTGGTGACATCCCAGCCCATGCCTCTGGGCAAGAGGGTGCATGTAGATGTTAAATAATATTGGGGACAGCACCGCCCCTTGGGGCACTCCACAAATCAGTGGGTGCCTTTGGGATAACTGCTCCGCTGGTGCCACCCTTTGTTTCCAACCCTGAAGGAAAGAAGCCAGTCATTGCAAGGCAGGCCCCTGGACTCCAGGGTCGGCGAGGCAGTGGATCAGTAACTAATGGTTGACCATGTTGAACGCCGCCGACAGGTCCAACAGCAACATCACTAAAAATCCGCCTGATCCACATGCCTCTGGAAGTCATCCGTGAGGGCAACCAATGCTGTTTCCATCCTGTGTCCTTGGCGGAAACCGGACTGGAAAGGATCTAGAATGGAAGTGTCATCCAAAAAACTCTGTAGCTGAATTGCCATGGCCCTCTCAATTATTTTGCCCAAATAGGGCAGATTGGAGACCGGCCGGTAATTAGCCAAATCGGCCAGATCCAGAGATAGCTTTTTCAGGAGGGGACGAACCACAGCTTCCTTGAGTGCTGTAGGGAACTGTCCCTCCGAGAGGGACTTGTTGATAATCTCCCTTAGGGCATCTCGAAACCCATCACAGCCAGCCATGATGGGCACGGGTCAAGACAGCACGTGGTAGGGTGTACAGTTAAGAGCAGTTTGTCAACTTCTTCCAGGCTGAGCAGACTGAAATAATCCATAACCTGACTAGAAGACGTGCATGGAGCCTCGAGTTCACTTACTGTCTCAACTGTGGTGGGGAGGTCACGGCGGAGCGACAGGACTTTATCTGCAAAGTAGCTCTCAAAGGCCTCACAGCCAGTGTCCAATTCCCTAACATTTGGTCTCCCTTGTGGCAGAACAGTCATAGACCAAATTATTCTAAATAATTGGGCTGGGCATGAGCTCGCAGACGCAATTGTAGCCGCATAATACTCTGACTGCCATCTCATAGGATCTCTTAAATGTCCTATAAGATATTCTTGTGGCTTCATCACAGGCGCACCGCTACTGTCTCTCTAGCCATCTTAGCCTTTGCTTCATCAGCCACAACTCCTGGGTAAACCAAGGAGCCAGCCTAGAGTGAGGGCACAGAGGGTGTCAGGGAGCGATCTCATTGATGGCTGCCAAGAGTCAGCTGTGCTAATCTTCCACAAGCTCATCTAACGAGCTGCCAGGAGGAATCGGATCCCACAGGGCCATTTGAAGCCACATAGGGTCCAGTTGGCTCCATGGGCAAGCTGAAATCTGCTCGCCGCCCAAACAGGGTTGGGGTGAAACATTCAGATGGGCCTTCAGGGCATGATGGTCCGACCATGGCACTGCTAAGGCAGTGACCCGATCCACTGTGACCCCTGCCGCGAAGATCAGATCGAGCGTGTGTCCGGCCCAGTGAGTGGGAGTCGTTACATATTGGGAGAGTCCCAGCGCCACCACGGATGACACTAGGTCCATCGCCTGAGTGGAGGCCACATCATCCACCTGGATATTGAAATCACAGAAGACAATTGGTCTAGGGTGTTCCAATGCCCAGCCTGATACGGCCTCCACGAGGGATGGCAGGCTGCTGGCTAGTTCTTTTTTCGTCAAAAAACCAAAGATAAAGTACAAGCAAAGACAAGTCTTACCTTACAGTAATTATGTTTTGTTGTCATAATTATTATTTTATGTTTGGTTTTTAATATGTTTTTGCTGTTTTGCCGTTTTATTATCTGCAGTATGTGATTATTTTTAAAAGGGAATCTTTTTTGCCTTAAATTTTGTACAATAATGAAAACATTGTCCTCTATTCTTTAAAAAAATCAATAAAAAGGTGTGCTGTCTTTTTATCTGGGTCGCATCTAACTATGGTACTGGCTATGGGGATGGTGGAGGCCAGATAATAATAATTTTTAATGAAGTCCTAGTTTTACATTTAAAACGCTAGCTTATCAGTAGGCTGACATTAAATTGTTCAGTAATTTGTCAGTTTTTTGTCAGTATTTAGTCAGGTTTTTTTGAATTTTGGTCAGTAAAATCAATATTTTTGACCCTCTGACTAATTTCCACCCCTGCATATATAAATAATCTGCTTCATTCAGTCCATTTCATTCAACCATCATTCAATCACCCTGTTCAAGAATATGATGTTTGAGACTGTATGGTAGTTACTCAGCTCTCCTGGGTTTGGAGTAGGTTCCTTTTAAGGGTAGACACACTGCTACTGAGTTCTAGGTAGGGGCGACCACCCTCTGTCTCAGGAAGGCATTTACTGTCTCCAGCATCCAGTTC